ATGGTGAAACCCTGTCTCTACTAAAAATGCAAAATTAGCCAGTCATGGTGGCAAGCGCCTACATTCCCAGCTACTCAGGAGGCTGAGGCAGAGGATCGCCTGACCTCGGGAGGCAGAGCTTGCAGTGAGCCGAGATTGTGCCATTGCACTCCAGCCTGGGCAACAGAGCCAGAACTGTCTCAAAAATAAATAAATAAAGTAACAGAAACAAACTGAAGTACAGATAGAAAAACGCTGACAGAAAATAAGCAGAGCCTCAGTGACCTGTGAGAAAACCTAAGCTAATGAACACACGTGCAACTGGAGTCTCAGGGAGAGGAGAAACAAGAGCACAAAAGTATTTGAAGAACTGCCTAACAATTTTCCAGATTTGATGCAAAGTATAAGCCAACATTTAGTTCAAAGACACTCAACAAGTTCCACGCAATATATACACACAAAATCACATCGAGACACATTTAACCAAGCTGTTAAGAGCCTGTGACAATGAGAAATCTTAGAAGCAAAAAAAAGAGAAAATATCACCAAAAATAATAATCACTAATGCACCATTGGAATCAATGAAAGACAGAAGAAAATGAGAGAATATCTTTAGTGATAAAACAAAAAAGGTCAACCTAAAACTCCATATGCAACAAAATAAAAGCATTTCCAGAGAAACAAAAACTTAGAGAATTCATCACCATCAGTGTGCATGTACCATAAAAAACGTTAGAAAGTTCTTCAGACAGAGCAGTAATGACAACAGATAGAAATCTGCATCCACATAAAGAAATACACATAAGCAGAATATGTATGAAGAAAAATTTTTTTAAAGAAAGAAAATAAATATTAAGAAATGAAGGCGGGTGGGCGCAGCGGCTCACGCCTGGAATCCCAGCACTTTGGGAGGCCGAGGCGGGCGGATGGTGAGGTCAAGAGGTCAAGACCATCCTGGCCAACAAGGTGAAACCCCGTCTCTAAAAAAAAACAAAGAAAGAAAAAGAAAAAGAAATGAAGGCTGGGCGTGGTGGCTCACACCTGTAATCTCAGCACTTCAGGAGGTTGAAGCAGGCGGATCACGAGGTCAGGAGTTTGAGACCAGTCTGGCCAACATAGTGAAACCCTGTCTCTACTAAAAATACAAAAATTAGCTGGGTGTGGTGGTGGGCACCTGTAATCCCAGCTA